ACACTAGGGAAACAATAGTAGCTTACCAAAGGGTCCACTGCATCTCCAGCCTCTTGCGACTTGCCATGGACCAGACTCTACAGCTCCAGAGTCCAGCAAGTCCGCTCGGTCGTCTCGCCAGCACGCTCCCAGCCAGGTTATTGGAAACGCGCCTAGGTTCTTCTTGGATCGCGACTATCGATTAAAATCGTTATCTCAGTAGAACACTGATTCGAAGGATTCTAACCGAGATCTCGCGATCCTACCAACTGCGCCAATTATGTTCGAGTGACTGAAAAAAGCCTTTTTTAAATAAAATTTATTTAATGGAGAGAATACAAGTTTGTGCCAATGCCACGACAAGTCTGATCTTCAAGTTATAAAATAAATATTGCTTTAATTCGCTAATTGCATCGGTTGCATTCTGGACAGCGCTGAGTCGAGGGTTTTCCGGGAATATGATGACTTAACTCAATGCAAGAATTTATTTCGGAACCCAGTCCAGATCCAATATAGAAAAGTTGCCCAAACTGGTCCTACCGGGAATCAAATCCGGAACCTCCTCATTCAGCGTCCAGAGTTCAAAACGTTCTACCACCGAGGTCGTTATGTAAAATTAATTGTGTATTTTCGCATTTTTAGTGAATCCAATAACACGCATGTATTTGTATTATTTTACTTGTATCTTATCATTTTCAGAAATAAGCGGAAATTAATCTACCAATTTTTTTGCCGAATTACTAAATTACCAGGAGCCCATAATAGTTCAAAAGTACTTAACAATACTGCGTTACTGGCGCCGACGGCATGCATTGTCGGGATTCAATAAAGCTGGCGTCACGTTGTCGGCGAGGGAGCACCAATAACTATAGTGGCATGAATGGCGTAATATTGCTGTGTGCAATGAAACTCGGGAGATTGTTACGTAACTGTGGGGTTTGGGACATAATATTACTACCATACTTTGGCAATAATATCAGAACGAAAAATTGTACAATATTAATTTTGAACAAGTTTTTATTGAATGTCAGGATGGTTCACCGCCATGATATTCAATTCGATTTTTTTGTGAAATTACTCCACTACTTTCTCATAATTATTAATGCGAAGATCGAACACTTAGAAAAAATAGATTTCTCACAGATGGCGCTACGGCTAAACAGTCGTTAAAATCCAATACAAAGATGTGCCACCGCACATGAAGAAGTTCGAGAGGAATGCTGACTGATCTGTAGTTCATTTTGTAACAACGGTAGGTTTGGCAAAAGGACGCTGGTTCAAGTCCCGTCGGAACGAAGTAATTTTTCTTTGTATTTACAAAAACAAACTAGTAGAGTATTTTTGCAGAAAATACATGAATGTCATGGTAGTAAAAATATATTCAATAAAAAAATTACACTATTTTTTTGTTCAACCGATTTAATTTCTCCTTGTATGGGTTTGCATTAATACGGGCTCCTGGTAACTTTCATTAAACCTCTGTTATTGAGAACCCCTTCAAGCACCGAAGAAAATTATAATTGACTTTCTAGGAGTCACTGTCGACATGGAGAAGTATAGAGCAAGATTAATTCGAACACAATCATTCGTTCTCTACAACTTTATATATGCCGCTACACGACATTTTTGATTGGCAGAAAGAATCCAGGATTGACTTGCGATTTACTTTGAAATATTTTATTTTTATTGAATTTTCTTCTGAAAATACTCTACTAATTTGGTTTTATTAATAAATAAATAATAATTATTATAAGACAATATCACACACGTTTCTTTGTTTCGAAAGTAAGTCACTAAAGCACATGCGTTATGGAAATTGGAAACAACTACGGTACCACTAACACCGTCACCCGAAGCAATATAGAAAATTTAGTTTTTCTTCTGCAAGGTAATCGTACACAAGAGCTTAGAGATGGCGATACCGTGAAAACCGGTGTGTAAGCCAATCGATCACGAAGGACGTATAATTAATAAGACAGCGTCTATAGCCACGTCGAGGCAACGAACGCTGGTTCAAATACAGTCGGATCCTAGGATTTTTTCTTTGTATTTGATCTTTGAATAATAATTTTACTTTGATAGATTCAAAGTCAGTGATATACACATTTCCATGATGATTGGTTGTTATACGGACAAAACAAAGTACTGACATTATATTATCGGTGGCCCACGCGTTCTTTTCAATAATTTAAAAATATATAACCGCAGTGTCCATTGTATTGCTTTAAACAAGCCATTGCGACGCCGAGAATCAATATGACAATAGCAAGTTAATAAGAGTTCACTTTATTGAAAGAATTCTCTCGACAAAGAGCCATCTTTATTGAATCTCGCTGCATAATGCGGGCGAAGCACATAGCTCCTTTTAAAGTTTTTAAATAAAGCGATAACCCTCAAACTCAACGAATGTTATTCGAAAACGAAATAAATGTTACGAATCGGACTACCTCATCTTCTTACTTTCCCATGGGTGTCATTTAAAGCTACATAAATGGCACATGGCACGTTTTTAGTAGCAATAGAGCTCTTTGTGAAAGAATTCGTCCAGAGAAGTATTGCCACCTTACCTACTTCTGCCGCCAAGCAGTAATGTGAGCATTACAGCAGCGTTCCAGTTTTAAGAGTCTGTAGTACCTACCTCAAATGGCTTTGGTTTGATTCTGCATAACAGTGAAAAATTAAGGATATACACTGATTACCATAAGGTGTGAAAATACTATTCCTAAAAATTTTCACGATACAAAAAACACACATATTTACCTCGAAATTTTACAAGAAAACCACTGTATCCAATAGGTAATTTACATATAAGTAATATCATTATTATTGGAAATGGATGCGTTTCGGGCCCTTTACGTCGGTTTGTTTGAAAAAACAAATATACGCGATTTAAACCCGGAAAAATAGTTGCATTTCCTATGTGTAACAATCGCGAAAACCTAAGAACTCGATATCATTATTATTGTTTCTTTATATCAACTGAACTAAATAGAACATGTATTTTTTTTTTCGGTACTAAGTGATGAGACGAACAAGTCGTGCGCCTGCTGGTAAACGACATGCCCGTCCATAACAGAAAATGTATGCCTGTCCATGTTACGCTATACGATTTACATTTTTCAAACGGCTTTAAATTCCATTGTGAAAAAATAATTTCTGAAATAAAGCCAATGTCCCTGCTGCTCGACCCAAGCAAATGAATCGTTTTAGTACGGGAAAAATTTGCAGGTAGGATCGACTCTTAAGGGGTGCTGATGAAATTACAGGCATATGGAACTTGCGTGACGGGCGCAATGGCAGTGTCCCACAGATCTTTGCGATTTAAAGCTCTGAGCAGCACTACAACTAGTGGTAGCAACCGTTTTAATTTTATTAATGAATATATTGTTGAAATAACTTTTTTTTGTCACACACTCAGAACCCCACACTAGGGAAACCCTGTATCGCGGGTGCCATGGACACACACATAGACTACCACAACTTATACCCAAACTCACGAGAGAGATAAATGTAGGGGCCATACAAATCCCGAAGCCCGAGAATCGAACCCGGGTCCTCTGCGTGGCACTCCAGCAAGGTAACCGTTCGGCCACGGAGGCTGTTATGTCGTGATTGATTCTATCAAGATTCTTGATGGGCCCACTTTATGAAAGACAATTTTTTTCAGTGTAGAACAGAATGAAAAAGATCCTACGACTTATGCCAAAACTTATTACCAAACTTACTTACTTGACTTATTACCAAAGCTTTAACGATATTAAATTGCCATTTTCCATTAGATGAGCCATCTGACTTATTGCCGCTAAAATCCACAACAAGAGCTATGTATCCAATTTTCTGACTCGAGTCGCACACAAAACGGTTAACAAAAACTATTTCTCATCCCCAGGCGCATTGTCGTTCCAAACCTGTGAGGAACGATAAGAGCCCTTACACACAGCCATAACCGATATTTATGACTCCAATTTACAACAAGCACGTATAGGCCCTTGCCTCCACAATGGTCAATAGACCGTTTGATACAGGTTGTCTACTTATTAGTTTAGCTTCTAATAAAATTATTATAAATTAAATAATAACATATAATTTACATTGCTTCAGAAAATCATAAAACAAAATAAAGAAAAATAAAATATAATAATTTTGAGACAAAAGGCAGAGGTTCCGCTTCTGCTGACACGGCGATGAGACCGTGCACCGCTGTTGTTCAGCCTCTCCCTAATCCACATGGTTTTGACCGGGAATCATGTCACCGAGGGCGGATGAGTACTCCCTTACAATCTAAGATTATAATATATTAACATAACAATAAAGAAAAATGTAAATTAAAAAATATGACATGCGAGTATTAATTTAAAAAAGCAAAAAAAAACAGTTCCTGGGATTCAAGCGTTTGTGTTGTGAACTTGATTTCAGTTATTATTGTTACTATTACGTATTAAAATTATATATATATGCTATATGATTTTATCACTTTCTAGACAAACTCGTCATATACTAGGAACAGCGGTTTGTATTTTAGTATATAAATTATATTCAGCATATACCACACATATAGGTAAACAAACGTGGGGTTTGAGTTTGGCGAGATTTTTATTTATCAAGTCATATTAATGTTTGTGTCAGACGTAGATGTTTTCTTAACAAAATCTTTTAAAGTTACGCATATGTTTGCCGCGTGAACATTGTTTACGCCATGTGTGAGGCATATTACAATGTAGAGGAAATAATTTTACAGAGAGATAACATAATTTTTCTCATACAATTATGTTCTATAGAAATATAGGTGATATTGACAAAATATACCGGAGCTATAGAAATCGATAAAAAAATTAAATATTAATATCGGGAATATCGACAACAATAAAGAATAATAATGTCTGTTTAAAGTTTCGAAGTCTAATTCTATAGTCACCCGGTATATTTGCGTGTTATCCTCAGCGTACAAAAAATAAAAAAGGTCAGCACGAAACCCTCAATGTTCATTGTAAACCCATAGCTGTATATATCCTGGAGCCATTATCCCGGTTCGTGGGATCCCAGTCGCGTCCCGACCGTTTCCGAGTGCGTGCGTGTTCCCATATGTTTCTTATCTCCTGGTACTTTTGGAACCAATAAACTAGATTAATAGTTTCAAATTTGTGAGTGCATTGTTTAGTTATCTAGAAAAAAATATTACACTTAATTTAATTCGTGCTTTTAAAAAAACGGATATGGATTTTCAGAGGTAAAAAGTTTGTAAATTATCCTAATGTTATTTCTGGGAAATCTACATAACATTTTCAATATTTGCAATTGCAAGTAAAATGTGTTGTCATTCAAATCAGTAATAATATAGCTTACGGATTAAAAGTTATGACCGCTTCGCTGAAGATAAACAGACACTGCTGATTCAGAGGCGAAGATAGAATATTATATCATGTTTTTGTTATGATTGTCTAATTTACTTTAGGTATTTCTCTAAGTGTTATTATTATGTTTGTTATGGAAAGAAGAGGGCCCTAGGCCCGAGAATCAGTATAACTCGGACGCGTGTGTGTGTTACGCTCAATAATTATAACTCATCCCCAAGCCAACGTTCATCTAACGATATCATGCTCTTAAGGGCTTAAGATTTGGCATCCTCCTTAAAGCCGTAATATACCCTCCGAAGGATCGCCGTAGACTTTAAGTTAGACCTCGCACGCACTGAGATTCTAAATGTTGCGTACGAAAATTAAATTCTGTTTTAAACAACAGTACAATCAAAACTTTTTGGTAATAACAATTCTACTAACAAATAATTTATATCTTTAATGTGCCTGTTCGTATTTTTGATTGTACAAATGTGAGTATCAGTTCTTAGGTTATCAATTAAATAATTAATTTAATGACAACAATAAATAATCAATTAATAATTTGATATAACGATGTGATTTAAAGTAAAAGTTTAATTTTAATTCACAATTGTTACTTATTGAAAATTACACTATGTATATTTTCGGGTCTAAATCGCGTATGATTGTTTTTTCAAACAAACCAACGTTTCCGGTGCCATACAGGTCCCACTGTCACGGCTGACTGAGATGGTAAAGCCATCAACTAGCTATGTATAATATTAACGCAAACCACAATATTTCGAGACCTCCAATGAACAATATGCCATCTTAATTTTTGGACCAGTTCCGTTCTTATTTTGTTTTTGTTGCTTTTTTTTACTTTTTTTATAAAGTAAGTAATATTTATTTTGTATGATTGGTACAGTATACACATGAAACTACGGTAAATTTAAGTCGGTTCTGAGAACCAAAAGGCGATGTACTATTAAAAGTATGCCTTATTTACTGTTCCATTTTTTTTAATATCTAGCGACGGGACGAATCGTGCACCTGATGGTAAGCTACACGCCTGTCCGTAACAGTTACAGTGCTACTCAGAGCTCCCGTCACCCTGAGACATGAATTGAGAAGTCTCATGTGCCTTTAATTTCACCAGCTCCCTTGCCCTTCAAAAAAACCAGAACACGGTAATGCTGACATTACTGCTTTGCGGCAGAAATAGGTAAGGCGCATGACAGTATTACCCTGGATTCTTTCACAAAAAGCTGTACTGGTACTAAATTTCCTTGAAATCTAAAATATAAACAGCTTCTAAACATGTTCTAAATATTCACAGTCAAAATATCAAATTGACTAATGGATTTGAAACGACCCATTCCTCTACCGAATGTACCAACAGTGTATAGTCGAGTGCAGTGCATGGTACAGTTGTTAAGCCAATTACTGGCCCATCGCTGAGGTCATTAGTGCGACGCAGCTGCTTTGGATATTAACTTTAGATTCCAACGACTGTTAAGCTGCTTTAAGTGTGTCGGCGGCATATTTCGTGAGCGTCTTTTACGATCTCGCAGCTCCGGTTAAACATTAGACGTTAAGAGAAGGGTCTTGAGTTCTATTGGCAATGAGTTCTAATAGCAGTATAGCTCCTTGGAAAAGAGTTTATCCAGGGATGTAAGTAAGGTGGTAGCACCTTACTTATTTCTGCCGCCAAGCAATAAAGTGAGCATTTACCGTGTTTCGATTTTAAAGGTGCTGGTGAAATTACAGGTACATGAAACTTATCAACTTATGTGTCAGGGTGATGGGTGCAGTGGCAGGCCCCTCAGATCTTTGCGTTTCAACGGACGAGGATGTGTCGTTTACACCTGATATCATGATATCACAAAAAAATATATCAAACTTGTCTGTTGGATTTTGAAATAGTTACTTAAATATTTTTTGTAATAATCTATTTATTTATTGAGCATTGAAAAAGATAAAATTAAAAACATAACATACAATTTAATTTAAAAATTTATTGGTTTAAAAATTGTGACAAAAACCCGTCATTTTTCATTTATTTTTATATATAACATATTATATATATATATATAACATATTTTTGCCAAGCGTTTCTTTTCACGCTATATATAAACATAATTATTGCGTACTATTCACCATTTAATAGGTAAATTATTCCTATTAGATGGTGATTATAGTTATTATCCCATTTCGACAAAAGACACGCCAAATGCAATACGCAGTTGGTGATTCGTTATCTAACAATAATTAGAGCGCATCCTACAATTATTCTACAAATTAAGCTAACATATATGAACCTATGTTATAACGTACTGTTGTAATTATAATTATATAATTTGAACACTAACATTGAACCACACCCGCCGGAATAAGTCTGACCCGGACAAGCCGTATATAGTAGGGTGTACAGTTCAAAGGAGTGGCACGCCCGGGATTGTGGAGAAGACCAACCAGTCGCAGCCGATTACGATTCCTAGGCTATGTAAAGCGTAATAGAAAGTAAGTTAGTGGGGCAGATAGTTATTTAGGTAGGTAGTCAGTCGTGACCATGGGATCAGTAAAGGGCCCGAAACGTTGAATTGTTTGACAAAGCAAATATACGAGATTTAGATCCGAAAAAAAATTGTTTAATTTCCTTTTTTGACAGGACGAACAAGTTGTGCATCTGGTGGCATGCGGTGCATTCAGACCTTTAATTCGCAATTATGTAAGGGGCACTGCCACTGTGCCCGTCATCTTGGGACAGAAGTTGTCATTCAAAACCGGAACGTAGTACTGTTCACATTACTGCTTGGCGGCAGAAGTAGATAAGGTGCCAGTACTTCCCTGGACGAACTCTTTCACAAGAAGCTCTACTGGTACTAAACGTGTAATCGCGGAAACCTAAGAACTTGCTGGTTAGGTACTGTTATTAGGCATGAGCGTTGGTACTGTGGGCTTCGTGCTGCCGTAGTGGTTCATCTTGGGTGGAATGGTGTCCTCGTCCATAGAAATATCTTGAGCTGCTTGCCTAAATTTATCTTTATATTTGGTTAGTTCTATCTGTGTCGTTTTTGTTACTTTGATAGTATTCCATATCGTGGTTTAAGGAGTCGTTCCAGGTGAATATGAGTCTTCCAACTTTGATTTCTGGAGCTCTTAGTGTAATGAATCGCCTCAAAATATACCTACAAATAGTTATTAAAACAATATATTGTTCTTCTACTTCACATAATTATTATTTTGACGAACCGATGGAACAGCTGATGTAGTTCTATATAGGAGTCATATTGTAAATTTATAGAACTAAAGACGTTGCTACAATGATAACGTAAACAAATAACAACCAAACTCAAACTCATATAATCTTTATTTCCTACGTAAGTAATTTACACTTGAAATCATCACATTTATTAAACTCTACAACTCTTCATAAGACAGATACCCCTGAGGAGAATGTGTAAGAAACTCTAGGAGCTGCCCTTTGTAAATAAACATTTGTACACATCATTTACAATATTCTTCTTCCTTTCATCTCCGTTACCAGTGACTTCGTTGTTTACTCTCTTCATACGTTATCTTCTTAATGGATAATGTGAAAGGTATGCAGAACAAAAGTTTCCAGACTTTTTTGTCTCATCACATGTATTTTTCTTCTATTTTGGTAGACTCCCTGCCTCTCTAATATTGAATTTTTACAAATTCATTAACTTCAATTACGTATTTGACAGCTGACACTACTAACATAAGGTTTAACTGTAGAATGAGAACTGAGAAACTAACCTAACCTATGTATTTTTTAGTTTCTGTCAAGATTCTTACACAATATAATAATCAACATTAACATCTGTATCGTACCTCTTGATATTTATGTTGATTACAATTACAATCCACTATCGTGGATCCCCGATTGCATCTCGAGCAATCGTTTTTGGGCCCCTTTAGGTTTAAGGAGACCCCTGAGGAGTCAATATGGACTACTTTGGAAATCATCGATGTAGAAGTCATTACTGTAAATGGATCTACGTCACACATTATTCAAGAATTATCTAGAAGTAGTTATTTGCCTTCCACATTGTTTTTGAACATTACAAAATATCATCACGAAAGTCGAACACTAACAAAAATTCCTTAGACCTGACGAACCGGATACGAACAAGCGCCTTCAACATAGCGTGCCTAAATCGAAGGATTTTTTCCTGGTATTCGATCTTTATTTATTTATTTATTTATTATGACATAGGTACAAAAAGCAAAATTTAAATATAGGCTGCATAAAACCCATTTTTAGTTTCACCGTACACCATCTCGGTAAATAAATTAAAAGTTACAAACGAAACGAATACAAAAACTATACAATAAAGAAAAATACAAACAAAAAATAATATTGATAATTACGCTAACAGACTCACTTGTAATATTGACAAAATACTTGTTATTTAAAATGTAAGTAAAATAACAATAAAGAAAAAATAGAAATAAAAAACAAAAACCTGGGTAGGTATCAGTCCCATCTGCTGTGTCTAGATTCACAATGTTTACAGTACACCAATAAAGTGACGTATTTACATTCCAGAGTTAGACAAATTTTCGGGGCGTAACACGCGGAAGTATTTTGTTTCGTTATTAATTTAATTTTTAATGCCTCTTTTTTTATATATTAATAATATTAATCATTTGTAACAAACGAGTGGAGTAATTACACAAAAAAGAATTGAATATCATAGCAGTAAAATATCGTGATATTCAATACACTTAAAATTCCAAAATATCATTCGAATATTCAACATGAGTGGCAAACCATGTTATTTAACAGCCAATAAAAAAAATACTGTAACAGTGGGACGGAAGAATGTCGTTAGGACCCCTCCATTACGGATAGTTTGTTTAACAACTCACTGACAAAACACATAGAACTTTATGGTTAAAGCAATTGATTGATAACTATCATAAAAAGGTTATAGAAACAAAGAGTTATTATGAACTAACCAATTGATGAACTCAGTGGCCCAGCATTTAGTAATATCATCATCATCAACCCATTTATAGGTCCCACTGCTGAGCACGGGTCTCCTCTCAGGCAAGGTTTTAGGCCTTAGTCCGCCACGCTGGCCCAATGCGTATTGGGAACTTCACACGTTTTGACAGGGTGAACCTTCTTTGACGTGCAGCAGCTTGATTTTGATTGCCTCTCCCGGACGGAAACTGCGGCTGTTCCGAGTCGAGGCGCATAATTACGATTCACAACTGGCCGATCGGAAACTTTTGACATTACAAATTGGAACAATAGTTGATTTAACTGTCAAATTAGAAAGATATAGTAGGAACCAGGTTCATCTTCTCGCTCGGAAACTCATCTGATTTCGAGTCTCGGGTCGGCTACGATTCGATCCAACAGCCTGCAGGTTTTATCACAATATTTTCCTTCGCCGAACAGCTTTTATTTAAATTTCGCACATACATTTTGAGAAACTCAGACCTGCGAGTCAGTATTTGAAACCACGGCCTCTGCTTGAGGGCAGATGAAACAATTAGGCTGCCACGACTTTAGTAATATGATTCCCAAGTAAGATCAATTTAAGAAACACACTTTTCTAAATTGGTTCTGATCTCAATGTTCCGCGTAGTGCGGCTGTCTTACCCATAATACTGGGAAATTTAATACCAGTTCGTCCAGGGAAGTACTGCCACCAAGCAGTAATATCAGCATTACTATGTTCCGGTTTTGAAGGGTAAGGGTGCTGGTGAAATTACAGGTACATGGGACTTGTAAACTTACGTCTCAGGCAGTGCCCCTCTCAGATCTTTGCGATGTAAAGCTCTGAGTGGCACTGCAACTGTCATGGACTGATCTCGTCACTTGATATTATGATATTTTAATATATTCTTTTATATATATATAAAAGAAAAAAAAGTAAAATTTAAATGCAATTTTTAAACTTAAACAATAGTAACACAAACCCTTGCGTCATTGTCACTGATCCTTATCTTCCACTTGTCGTCCTTACAATATCCATTCACAACAAGCTTCGTTTAGATTGCTACCACATATTACTAACAAATAGTTATTTCATTGTTTTATACCCCTATATAATAGTTTCTTAACCGACTTCAAAAAAAAGGAGGAGGTTCTCAATTCGACTGTATTTTTTTTATTTTTTTTGTATGTATGTGATGATTACTCCGGCATTTAAAGCCGATTTTGGTAGTTCTTTTTTGTTGGAAGAAAATATTCCTCCTCGAAGGGTGGCATACTCAAAAAAGGGTGGCATGAACAAAAAATACATTCCATTTGAGAACTTCCTCCTTTTTTGAAGTCAGTTAAAACTACATAGAAATCTCATACTACTTATGCTATAATATAATACTAATCTCCCTCTAAGAAGACGATATGAGGCAATGGTGTATGAAATACATTTCTTTTAATCATTATATAACTTCAGCCTACGAAAGAAAGAAAGAAAGAAAATACATTTATTTGTTTACCACAATGACACCACAAAAGACAAAAGACAAAAAAAAAGAGAAAACGGAACAAAACAGAACTAAAACAAAACACGATCAAAACATTCAACGTAAAATATAAGTATATAATTACGAAACAAACACACAAACAAACACAAAATAAAATGTATATACAAAAATTAGATAAAATTAAAACAGGAACTATTCACACAAATAATAAAAAGAAGACTAAATATTGAGATACCTTGTGTGGTGCCAGTCGCGGTAACAAAAGGGTCACAAACTCAGTATATGCTGGAAAACGCAACGCGTTCCCAGCACTGATTTTCAGTTAAGACCCTTAGTGAGGTCACGTACATCATTACGTAATATTTTTTACTAAATTGTATGTCGTTATTTTTAATGTCATCAGCTTTTATATTGTGTCAGGCTGTCTTGTACTAAAAAAGATAGATCTGTATGAATAAATTGAAAGCCAAGAGTTAACACTCAACGGCTTATTTTATCCAATTTAAAGAATCAATCTGAAGACTGTCGCTTTCATTCACGGGCTGAAAGGAGGTCGACGGCTCTATTGATAAAAGCGCGACAATCGACGCATCCTGCGCGCTCAATTGCCCGCGCGCATGCGAAACGACACCGTGCGTCGCGCACATGCGCACCACCTTGTGTTGAAGTCCAGATTCAGCCTTCAAAAGCCAAATTGTACAGTACCATTTAACAAATAATTGCGACCATTACTATATATACCATTACTGAATTTGTTTCATAAATTCCTGTTCTTATCATAACTAACGTTATCGACATGTTTAGTGAAATTGAGTTATTAACATACTTAGAATAATAATCAAAACTGCTTTTATCCCCCTTTGAGTAGTTTTTTTAATATCGTATTTAGTTTAAGTTGTATTGTAGTTTATGCAAAATCAGCGTAATTGAATTTTGATTCTTTTATTTATTTATTTATTTTTTCACAAAATTCTTTTTATTTTTGTTTTTTTTTTTCGAATTTTGTTCTTTGTTTGTTTTACAAAATTTGAAGAGCATAATATTAGTAAATAAATACGGTTGCTTACAAAAAATAACATAAAATTACCAAAGAATAAAGTTGGCGTAATGTTCATTGGAGGTATCGAAAGATTCTTATATTTAAATAAAAATATCGAAGTCTGCAAAATTGCGTTGTTGATTGTAGACGAAGACTGTTGCTGATTTATATTTGTGTCTACATTCACATCTGTAATTAATTAATTTTTTTTAATGTTAAATTATTTGTGAAAGAAACGCGTTTGCGTTAGTTACGACAAGGCTTAATCTTACACTGCTCTTTAAAATATTTTCATAAAAATTTAAAAAATAAGAAAGTCAAAGCTTATTACAGATACACACATCCAAAAGGAAACTTAAATGAAAAGGTCCCTTAGAGAAATCAATGTATAGCCTATGTAACCGAACACATCGTCAACACATCCGTCCCACTGCAAAGGCCATTTGGGGACCTGTGTTGCTGCCACACATAGGAAAATGTCCCATTCCGTAACGAATCCCTTTTATTCCGTATTCGAGCATCATCACAGCATTGTTTCATTGGCCATGCATGACCAGTGACGTACGAGGTCAACTAACTCAGCAGGATGGGGGACGTAAAGAGGGCACTGAATTAATTGTACGCTAACTGTCGTGTGATATAGTGACGTTTCGTAATAGAGGACGTGAAATTCTAGCTTGTGTTATAAAATTGTTCGCAATGAGATTTTGAAATAGGACATTTATGTTCAACCTGAACATTCCTTTACCTATTGTGAATAATATAACTAGCAATGAAGAGCTATGTCGGTATGTAGATACCTAGTTATTTAGATATCTGTATGTGAACTTGTAAAACCTTAGAATAGTTCAAAGGATTTGTTTGTATTTTATTCCATACTAGCTGTTGCCCGCGACCATATATTTTGATACTGTAGCCTACCTTTATTTGGGGATTGTTTTGAAAAACCCTGAGACACGTTTTTATTTATTTTATATTTAAAATATTTATAAACTAAGTTGGAAATAAATCGCAATACGCGTTAAAAAGTTCCCACACAAATTTTAATACCCCATTTCACCGCTACTTAGGGGTAGTTTTGAAAAAATGTCATGTCAATTTTTACCAGTTGCATTATAGAATATTTATACATGTTTCATCTTCCCAGGGCGACATTCAAACCATATTTGTATTGCAAAAACGAGCGATTCGTTGTGTACCATTCAGGCTCTCGGGTTTACCTCAGATAAATGTTTAAGTAGACTGGTATCATGACTGTGGCATCACAGTATATTTACTCAAATATTTTATATGCCCGTAAAAATATAGATAATTTCAAGAAGACAGGAGATATTCATAATATTAAACTTAGAGCTAAGTATAAACGCACGGTACCACGATTTCACTTAACCGAGGTAAACCCTTTTATGGGGACCTGTATACATTTTTACAATAGGATTCCGGAGCATATATTAAGATTATCATTTCCTAAGTTTAAAAACTACATTAAAAATATTTTAATTGAAAAGTCATAAGTATTACAAAATTGAAGACTACGTGTTAGATAAAGATGTATGGAGAGACGACATGGCTCCTGATTCCACACAAATTTGATTCAAAGTACATTCCATAGCATTCAAGTTTATTTGAAAAGAGCAATCCCTAGAGTTTCTTGCTCGTTCTTTTCAGGGAAGTCAGCGTGGTGAATGAGCAGTAGCTTAAATATGACATTTTCAAGTGTAACTTTATTTTACCTATGGAATAAATGATTCTTTGACTTTGACTTTGTAAGTTCAAGGAATACCATTTTTCATATAAACATTACAATTTTTCACTTTAATTTCGAATAATCCGTTCTTAGTAAGTCTACACTAAATAAAAGTAACATAAACTCAAGTTTTCTTGTGTGTAGTACATATAGTTTTTATTGGGCGCACATCTGCCAGTGAATTACTCCTGGAGCAAGCCAGACGGCTTTACTCCTTTGTATATTATAGATTCCAAATCCAATAGTCTCATACCATTACTTTCAGAGAGCGATGGTCAAACAAGTCATTTAATTAAAATTTAAAACAATGGATACAGACATAAAATAATTGTGTAATAACCAAAAACATAAGTACCTATATAAAAACTGTTTCGGAACTGTAAATGATGGAAAGGAAGAAGTGTTAAGTGAAGATGAGACTAACTGTGGACAATCTGTCGAGAACTATAAGGACTCCAGTATGGTGCTTAATAGTGATCATGGTGATTATAGCGGTGGAAGTGAGCAGCTTGAATGGACCCAATGTCTGCATTGAGAAGCAAAAGTGAGTATTTCAGATGATTTTAGTTATAACGAAAATTCAACATTCAATTAATTTCACTAAATAACAAATAGCCAAAGTGAACTTTGAGCGAATTTTGAATAACTTTGGAACTAGGTTTTATTTTATAATGTATCGAAATCCATGTATCAAGATAAATATAACACCAGTGTGCAACGGCTCTAGTGGTCAGAAACCAGGAAAAATTATGCCAATATTTTTTTAATTTCCGCAAACTTTATAATCTGGCAGTTAGAAAACTACCACCAACTAATAAGAGAGTACATGACGCTGCCTACAAACATTGACGTATCCCGAATATAGAGGCATAAGATTTTAAAAACTTCTATACCTATCGAGTTCTTAGGTTTTTGTGGTATTACACATTGGAAATGAAACAATTTTATCGCATCTAAATAGTGTATATTTGTTTTTCCAAACAAGCCAACGTTACAGACCTTTTACAGGTCCTATAGTGACCACTGACTTGGAACCTGAAATATACGTGATTAACATCCGAAAAAAATTGTTTTACTCCTGTATTTGTCATTGCGATGGCTCTCCCTACCTTTCAATCTACACACCAATACTGATTTGCGGTAGAATTTGAAACAGTAGTAGGTACCCTCACCCCTAGTGTGACTATTACAGTATCTTCAGCTCTCGTTGTATTTTGGTAAAAAATAATAATTTCTCAATGCGATTTACTTGCAGGTACAACATAACAAAACGTGTGAAGTACCGAGCACCGATGTCCGTTCGTACGTACGTGTGGTGCTTCGCAATGCCCCCAAGATGCTCACGGTGGAATACCGAGATGAGGGATCTAACCAGACTCGAAGTAAGTTCAACAGATTAGATGTATAATGGTCTGATAGTGATCTGGGGAGGATGAAGTTTAGAAACTTTTATGAAAAATAATTAGTAAGATCTCTAGTAGATGATTATAAGGTAGATTTGATTATAGGTTTGATTACTACACAAAGCTGATAAAATGTTGATAAAGTAAATTTTCTTTGATGCAATACATAATTTCAAAAGAACTGGGGTAATAATCCATAAAACTTTTACGACGAATCATCGCCATCGATCCAGTTTTTCTCAAGGATAAACATAAGCAAATAACTGTAATCGATGGAATGTAATAATATCGCAGAAAAACATGACCACGCATAATTTGTTTGCCAATTAATCAATAGGTATGATATGATGAAGGTGAACAACATATTTTCATTCAAAAGTGTCTCACTTTACTTCACTTTTTAAAATTACGGAGTTGGATACTATTGCCAACTCAAGGTTATGAAATCCAATTTTATAAAAATAAAAGTAAAAAAGTGGCAACACGTTTTCTTGCTTGCTTGGCAATAAAAAGAGTATAAACTATTGATAAAATTTATAGTTGCTGTTATTGCAACCCTGTTTTACGTCTTATAATGAGTGCTAAGCAGAAAGAGAAAGAAAACATTTGAAAAATATTGTTAATCCGTACAAATTAATCAGTCCATGAAATCCTTTAAACGAATTTACAATCTTCTTCCTAACATACCGTATAACGATTACGTCTCAGATCGTTACGCTGAACACAAGTGAAAAGTATTTCACATACTTCTGCAAACAATTATGAACCACACCTTTTTATTGTCAATATAAATAATACTCTAAGATAAGTAGATAAATATATAGGAATCTACAATAATAAGCATAACTTAAATTTCCAGACAGAAGAACGAACAGCAGAGATGGTTGTATGTTGTCCCGGATACAAAATGAAAGATATCTCCTGCGTTCCTATTTGCCCGCATGGAAAGACTGGACATGGATGTACCGAAGGTAAATACATAATTCATCCGTGTCAAGTCAGAAACAATTATTCCGAAATTCTAAATAAAGTCCGAATTTTTAACAAACTTCAAAAAAAGGAGGAGGTTCTCAATTCGATTGTATTTTTTTAAATTTAAGTTCCGTAATAACTCTATGGGAAGAGGATACATCAGTAGTGGTCCCATTTAAATTTGAAGAAAATATTCCACCTCTAAGGGTGGCAAACTATGGGATGAATGGCTTTTGAGTTCGATTTTTTTACTACTCTGTACTGAGAATATATGCACACACTTTTCAAAACCTCTACAGACTGTCCACCGAACAAATGGGGCCCCAGCTGCGTAAATGACTGCAGAAAATGCAAGAATGGTATTTGTTCACCAATTACAGGAGAATGCCTATGCCAAGATGGATGGCAAGGTGAGAGGTGGGTTCCCACTTTTATTATTTACTCCTTTAAACTTCACATATACTATAGCTAATGTACTCATTTAGCCGACGACTATTTACGTTACAATCATTTTCATCATCAATTGCCACATTAGAAAAAGCTTAAAAAACATAAATTGAGATCAAGTTGTTTAGAACAACTTCTATAAAATAAAAATATCAAGTTTACTAAAACACCCAGCACTAAAAAATCCGTAAAGGCGAATCAACTGCGAATCAAACCATACTGCGAGATACATTGTATAGCTTTGACTAACCAGGTCAACCGGGACAAAGGGGGCGGGAACAAAGTTAGACGCCATGTAAAATTAAAAGCTGCATGATAAATTACATTTACCAAGTTTATACAATGAGAGGATTTCTTGATGATCAATCCTTCCTCGACCTTGTTTAACTAGAAATGAATTTATTATCCCAATTCCAGAGATCCTTCATGATATTTTTAAATTAAAAATTCTTTACTATTTTTAACAGACTTCAAAAAAAGAAGGTTCTATTTTTTTGTATGTATGTTATGCGATTACTCATTTGTGAACCGATTTTGATGATTATTTTTTTTGTCGGAAAAAAATATTCCACCTCTAAGGGTGGCACAATGAATCCAGTTTCGAGCACTTTCCGGTAACTGATTCCAATGAAACTTGGCAAATACTTAGTTGTAATACCATACCAACCATACCATATCATATACCATATACCATACCATACCAACTTTTGTCGTCGGTTTTTTTTATAAAAAGTTAATATTGAAGTTGTTATTTTTGTTGGAATTCAAGGAACGCTTGTAAGGCCTTTTACCTATAAAACACATTATAGTGTTAGTTGAACTGTACTAAACTGAATTACTTCCACATTGTCATCTAATTTAGTCTGGGAAAGGGATCGGAGCCATCAAATTTCCCTTGAGAGTACCTATTTACGAAAATGGCGTTGTAGCCGACGTCTGTTTAATGAGAAGTAATTGGCTTAATCAGCTTCCCTTTCTCGAACACGGCCACATTTGCCTAATTGGAAATCAAATTTACCTGACTGTTGAAAAGAGTGACCTAGTAACTTGTAAGGAGTTTAGAAATATAGTATAAATAATATTATTATATAATAATATATTTTAATAAATCACATAAATAGATAGCCTTAATAGGTGCTTAATCATTACATCAACGGAATCAGATGTTCAGGAGTCATGTTTTATGTTTCAGTTGCGATATCATCATTCCTACAACAACGCCTGCGGTGCCAATGATGGAGCAAATACTAACATCTGTAAAAACTACCGCTTCTACTAAAACTACTTCCCTATCTACAATCACACCTACAACTATTAGAAGTACCACTATTGTGGTTGCTACATCTACGTTACCAACGACTACTATGGTTTTGTCTACGAAAGCAACTGTTCCTAATACTACAATAACTTCTACTACAAACACAATGGACGAATCAAAAACCACTACTACAGTTTCCAAACCTGCTATTGTATACAAGAACATGAGTTTGTCCGATATTTCTAAGATGGCAGCATACAATCCTGTCAACAACGATGAGAAAACTGATGTACATTTGATTAAGAGTGTACCTGTTAATCAAACAAAAACGAAAGATACGTTTAAAACAGTACCAACTACAAGTATAACGTTAAGTTCTGAATCTGCAACATCAAACGCCGCTACGGAACATAAAATGTTACTAACAACTCTTACTGAGATAAGAGCATCGACAGCAGTAACAACAATGTTAACTACAGTTATTCCAAAGACATCCCCTACCACTGAAAAAATAACAACAAGCGAATTAGAAAAAACTACAACAAGAACGGAAATAACAAGACAACCCGAAATGACTGTTAGACAACCAACTACTATCAAGTTCAAACCAAAGGAAATATGGATACGACCAGCTCAAAAAGGTGAACCTCCTATAATTGAATCTAAAATCAAAGCAAACCACGATATACCACATTCAAGATCTAAAACTAGAGAAGTTTCAACAGCTGCGACTACACCTAAGACTATCGTAGTTTCTATAATACCCACATCAGTTTCCTACACATCGTTTAAAAGGATAGCGTTAACAAGTGCATTGCATACATCTCCGAAAATCAATGCAAGTATTAAACCTAATATTACCCAATCCATGGATCAAAGCTTTACGAAACCGATAACCATAAAAACAACAACTTCAACGCCTTTCACAATCAAAGTTTCATCGAGAAAACCAAATTCATCAAAGTCAATCAACACATTGTTACTTCAAAATGTAACTCGAACCAAATCATACACATCATTCGGCACCAAAGGAACATTTAAGGCAACCACTCTGCCTGCAGCACCAACAACTAACAGCATGCCAGACGCGTGGAATGCTAACAAAAAACTGAATTCTTCTTTATTAACAACCGTTTCCTATCCTTCGACTAATGTGAATCCAACGACAAGAAAGCAAACTATCACTTCCCAACTTTCCACACGTAGTCATCGAATAACTACCATTAAAACCTATTCTACATTGGGAACCGTACCAACAAGAACATCCACTGCCTATAATTCTATAAATAAGCAGTACGTAACAGTTACACAAAGAAATATAACAATGAATTCTATAACCTCTAGAGTGACAGAAGTACCACAAGTAACAAAAACGCTTGTTAGAAAACAAGCTGCCACTAACGTTTCCAAGCAAAATCTAACAAACACTAACGCAAAAACTAATACTGTAACCGAAGATCCAACAAAGGGTGAAGAAACTTTTCATATTTTGACAGAACCAGAACACATAACTGCCGTAATGGGAGACAAAGAAAAGGACCGCCCGTCAGTAGATCTCATATCTGTTATAAGTATTGCTGGAGGAGTAATGATGGCAATTATTACAGTAGCTGTGATTATAGTAATGGTAGAAAGGTGTAAGAAACCGAGATACGAAGATGTAAGGAAATATAATGATATTCGAATGCAGGTCTTGATAGATAATAATGATGTCCCACCGCCGCCGTATGTGAGAAGCATCTTTCATACTCCTTTACCAGGTAAGAAAATCAATAACTGAAGCAGATCCTTATTTTTGTCGAGTTGTTCATCGGCCCATTAGCTCAGTTGGTTAGAGCGTCGTGCTAATAACGCGAAGGTCGCGGGTTCGATCCCCTCATGGGCCATGGGTTTTTTCCATTTTTTTTTTTCTATTTATATTTATATTGGTGACCTTTTTTATACTTTTTAGAACCTCCAACTTCAGAAAAATGTCACTACCAACCAATTTCAACTCTGGATCGAAATCTCAAGCAATTCATGAGGCCGGTTGTTGTTCAAACAATTTCACCCCTTATGCTAGAAAATTTTCGAGGTAAAAATGTTTATTTTTCTTCAAAATATCATTGGTACATAGAACGTTCCAGTTTAAATAAAAATTCCGTTTTTATAGGTATTCTGGAATGCCATTATGACCATTTACCAAGACGAAGTCACGACTTAGACACTATGCAAGCGCGTTGCTCAGTGCCGCCATCTGTAAGCGAGCGCGAAGAACTGCTTCCTCAACGTGTCCACTCGCTAACTGACTCTGATATCGAAGCTATGAAATGTGAAGCAAAACAAGACGTTATTGATAACACAACATCAGAACCATTATATGCTGAAATACCTTGTTGGCGACCACCCTCAGAGCATGCAATAGAAGTTGTTAATCTAAACGGCGAAGCAGTAACCGAATTATGACCTGAATATATTTAAAATGTTCAAACAAAAGTAAAGACACCGCTCGTTCAAGTACACTCGGGGCACGCTAGATGGCGCTGTACTATGAAATTATGATTTGTTCTCTTTTGGTAAATTATTTTATATCGTGTTCTACTTGCCAAAGATTAGTGTTATGTAAAAGTAATTATGTTACGTTAGTAGTAAATGGTGTAAGTTTATCGCCTTTTGTATTATTTCCCATAGGTATTCCACTTTCCACATCCAAGTAAAAGCTGTTACCTTAAAACCAACCATTTATAGTTGTCAAATGTAGGAAAAACCCCAAAACGAATCGGAGAAAAAACGAATGTATTCAAATTTAACTTAAAGTTTATAACATATAACAAGCTAAAGTTCGTGGAAATCGCACTAGTATTGAGGAAAGATAACTCATCGAGGTCACAATCGTGTGTGGGCAGATCACATCATACCTAATTCAATTTATCTCTATTTACTTCCCTTTGACACAATATTAACTTGTTTTAATTGCATTTAGACAAAAAAAAATACGTGCCAGAAATTATAGAGCTTTGATATGTAGGTACAGAACAACTTTTTTAACAAATAATTAATATTGTACCAAGACTTTTAATAATTACAATCACATTTTAATGGTGTCACGTGCTTCATAATTATGCAAACAAAACATAACTGCAGAAAAGGGAGCAAGTTCTCATAGACAATTATTAAGTTGCAAAAAAATTTGAAAAAGCAGTAGTATGAATCTGAAAGGGGCTAGGTAAACCCTCTATCACAGGTGCCATAGACGCACACATAGACCACAAATCACACACAAACTCACGAAAAAAATAAACCATAGAAATATTTTTCCCGGCCCGAGAATCGAACCCGGGTCCTCTGCGTGGCAGTCCAGCATGATTGCCACTCGACAACGGAGGCGGAGGCAATTGAATTTGTTTGCGTTTCCGAACATGTTTTAGATTAAATTTATTTCATTTTAATAATCTATTTACTTATGTAAAGTTAAGTTTATAAACTCATAATTGTTATTGAAAATGAGTGATAGGGTTTTTTTTAATTTTATATTAAACGTTCTTTAAATTATGTGACAATTCACTTACGACAAATCGTATGAAAAAATATATTGAATAAAATTATATTAAAAGAGCGTTTAGTTAAAAATATTTATATAATATATTACACACCCAATAAAGCTAGTTTTTTTTTTAATTTAGCTTTGTGAATATTTAGAAGCAGTAGAGCTCCTTGTGAAAGAGCTCATCCAGGGAAGTACTGTGACCTTACCTATTTGTGTACCTATAATGTGAGCATTACTGTGTTCCGGTTTTCAAGGGAAAGGGTTCGGGTGAAATTACAGTCACATGGGACTTGTCAACTTACGTATATCTCATGATCACGGGCGCAGTGGCAGTGTTCCTCAGAACTTGGCGATTTAAAGCTCTGAGTGGCACTGCAACTGGTGTAGACAGGTGTGTCACTAAAAAAATGCTAAAAAGTTTTGTATTTATTTGCATGCCTTGGTATTGTGGTACGAGAAGGTCAAAAATAGTTCGTATAGATAGAGGCACGGCGTGTATTTTAAAACTTGGCCTAGCGCACTGACCTTGCGCACAGATGCTTACTTGTTATTAAATTTTCCATGAATCAATTGTAACTGCTTTAACTAAGACCTTCTTTAAGACCTCCAATGAGAATCATCAATAAGTTATTACCATATAAATAGCGAAGTAACTGTACTGCCCTCCTCCTCCAAGATATTAACATCGTTCTAATGCTTGTTTTCACTAGTAAAAAATTATTTTGAACGCGAGCGATTTTAAAAACCGAGGTGTAGGGGACCGCGCGCTTTTAATTTATTTGAATTATAATATATAATAAGAGAATGAATAATAAAACAAGCGAAGAAAAATTGACATGGATCCAATGTCGATGGTGATTGACTGGGCAGCGGGCGGCGCGGTGTGTCGTTAAAGCGCTGGGCAATTTTCAAATTATTCGGATAAATGTGAATTAAATAACTATAGGGTTTCAGTTGAAAATAAAAATGTAGCAGGTCCTCTTTGGTACTTAAAGAGAAATATCTTCATATGAAAATTATGTGCAAAGTTAGGTATTTTGTTCTTAAACCTAGACTTTTGTTCTAGCCTGTTTTCGGGATTTTGGATGGTTGGGTAAAGTACATCCTATCGTGTAACGTATTAGCTCTTAGATAATATCCTCACGTGTGGCTTATATTTTATAAAACCGTTATTTAATAGCAAATATCTAAACCATTTGGTCTAGCAAAGCAATCTTTCCCGCTTCTCCTCTGATGACTCGTCTTCGGGGTTGGGTAAGGGGTTGTAAAGTTCGTTAATAACTAAATTTAACTAAAAATGACGTTATGAAGTTAATTATGATAAGAAGGGCAGTATATGTATTTTGTGAAAGTTTGCCAGTATTAACTCTCAGCGCCACGTGGGCCGCCGGCCGCCCACAGAAATTCGACGGCAGCAGGCCACTACGTATCTTCGAATTTTACCCAGCAGGCCATGTGAGTCGCCGCGAATTACAATTAAGAGTGAAAATTTATTTTCGATTTTTTCTAATCCTGACCAGTGAAAGTTGCATCAGCAGGCCGACAATATAAGTTGTGCGTTCGAAGAACACAGCCAATTCTTCTGCTAACAACTTATCCAGATCGTAATCAAGTATTGATGTCATCCCTAGTGGTGACATCCGTCTGTCATTTTTGGTAGGATCACTATGTACCAAGCAGCCGACGGGTAAAGCTTGAAGGTGTCCCGCCGGCAGCCCACATGGCCTGCTACAAAAGTTACTTAAGATCGGGCGTTACATGCTATGAAACAAGAGCGTATTCCGCGCGCCGCCCACATGGCCTGCTAATTCAGAAAAATCGTTTGTTTTATGGCGCTGAGAGTGTTAACAATCAGTCAATCAATCAAGTGTTATGATCTTTAATACAAAGATCGAACACTTAGGAAAAAATCCTTCGATCCGGTTGGATTCGAACCAACGTCTTCTAGCAAACCGTGGCAGATGTTATACCAACTGTGACGATGGTACCTCTTTCATCGTCATCCCATCATTTTTAAGCTATTGCTCGTTCGCTACGCTGACCTCCCTGAGTTAAAAAACTCTAGGGATTGCACATTTCAAATAAAGTAAATGCTATGGAATACACTTTGTATCATAATTGTGTGGAATCAAGATTCATGTCGTCTTTCCATACATCTTTATCTATCACGTAATGTTCAATTTTGTAATATGACTTTTCAATTAAAATACTTTTTTTAAACTTCGGAAATGATAATCTTAATATATACTCTGTAATCTTATTGTAAAAACGTATACAGTTCCCCATGAAAGAATCGTTTAAATTGGTTAAACGAAATTGTGCTACCATTAGTTTGGACTTAGTTTTAATGTTAATATCAAGGATATCGTCTTTCTTAATTAAATTATGTTTATATATATTTTTTGTAACAATTACCAAGTACCGAATTCGGAGTTTATAAAAATTATCTCATCTGGTTTCCTATGTAGTGTGACATCATTAGTTTACTGGAATTGGGTCCAGTAGTTAAATAGTGTAAGACAATAGAACTACGTAGTGTAACATCCATTAATACAACATGAAAATAAATGTCACTTTCAGTTTTCCTTTTAAAAAACATAGTTTTATTCAAGCCACATTTGTTTGACTTGTGTAAAAATTATTGCACTATTTGTTTATTAATTTGTCTTCTCACCAAATCTGCAGCAGAACTCCGTCTCAGTCCCTCCGTCTTACCACCCCATCATTCCACGATAAAATGGCAAAATACTCATCATTTATTAGACTCAACAATTTTACTTTAACCTCCTGCCTACTCAGAGACCGTTTTTTAGAATATTTTTATGAATCTTTCAGGGATTGTTGTGAATATTTTATAAAGTATGGGAAAAATATTGAAAAAAATATTTGTTAATATATATTTGTCGGACAACGGCACTATATTAAGGTGTCCTTTTAAAATTTTGATTGGTTGTAAGTGGACTAATTAGCAATTAAGTTAAATGAATATTTGAATAAAATATAATTTATTGAAAATAAAAAAACAACATTTTGTGTTCAAAAAACACAAAATGTACTTATTAAAAATAAACTAAAAAAAAACGAACAAAAAATATAAATATTTCTTCTAAAAAAAGAGATATTACGTGTATAATTTAGACGTTAATACTTGAACGAACGTAATAGATTAACAGAAACATATTTATTCTAACATTCATCTTCGTGAAATTCGGTGAAACAGTTTCTATTTGGCACAAAACACAGACACATTTCACTAATAAGGAACAATAGTTTCATTTCCTATGTGTAATAATGGCGAAAACCTAAGAAGTAAGAACTAAAAAGAAAGAAATCGGAAATAACTGATTGTGAAATCTAAAATCCTACGCATTTTTTATTGGTATTATGAATCATACCTAGTTTTTCTTAAACACACCAATCAATTTAATTTCGCTGAAACCTATATTACAATATCGATCTTTTTTATAGAAAAATATATTAGAAAATATTCTACAGAACCCGGATATAATTTTAACTGATTCGCAATAATAAGACTAAATAGCGAGAAATAGAATATGGAACCTCAGTGCGATATAGTCGGTCCCGCGGTGAACAACTTCTACCATCAACATGTAAGTTGCGTTTGGTATTATGTCATGTTTATTATTGCCTCACCGCCTTGACTCATAGGCTTTAAGGTCCTTTATATTTTAATAAAGCCTTACGTTCAAAGAATAATAATAGAATCCTGTCTTACCCGTACCATTACACTAAATCTAGTGGTGCCGTGTTTTTTTTTAATACTACCGTAACGGTGATTTTGATTTATTATCACAACTTATCCATGCACTCAAAGTAGTTAGGTATGTATTCACGTTTGTGTAAATTATTGCAATTAAAGAAAATGGGATAGTATGGCAGACCTCGTAATTATAAAAACATTTAAATTAAGATTTTCATCATCTTAAATATACGAAAGCTTTGTTATTTTGATTATGTCCAATTTATAAAGCAGCGCTCGCGGCACTGCTATATTAATAGAGATATTGTAGTATAATAATAGATCAGTAAAGAGATAGTGTCGTTATTCAAACACGTGTAGAATAATAAAAAATATATGAAAATTTTTAAAATTTTCTCATAACAGAGTTAAGCACCAATCATGATGCGTGTTCTAATCTGCGTTGCGCTTATTGCATGCGCATACGCATACGACTATGACGACGACGTGCAGCAAGTGCAGCAATCCTCTCTGTCCTTGAAAGGAGGTCACGGAGACTTCGAGTATCTCTCTAGCGCCAACCTTGAATAGTAAGTCTGTGTTCTATTCTTTCTTCAAAATGATAAATGCTATAAACTGTGAAATATATATAGATTTGATTGATTGGACTAAGCGACAAGCGATCATACATTATAAATGCTTTTATCACAAGCACGTCATGAAAATAATATGAAGTACATGAAACAAATTATGTATATGTGAAATTTTATACTTACTTTAATATTTAAACATAAAAAGCTATCAGAGCGGTTACACATGACGACTTTTAAACGCGATGCGCGATTCGCCTTTTACTCACACGCGCGATTTTAAGCAGTGGTGCAAGCGCGCCACTGCATCGATTCAAACGCGCGATTCCATCGCCACACTTGGGATTTATCGGCGATTACATCGATGCAATCGCGCGTTTGTATCGATGCAGTCGCGCGTTTGTATCGATGCAGTCACTGCTGAAAATCGCCGTATGTAACTCTTAGTTTGTTCATAGAATTTTTAAACCTCTATCCTAAAAAATTGCCATATTACAGCTGTGGCCTTATTTTGTAAAAATGTAAAAAGGTTTCATATCGTCATACTACCAACCTCTTTTTCTCGTCCTATCGATGGCATAGACTTGCATTTCAGAACTATTGGACATGTTTGCCATCGTGGTCAAAGCATTTGTTAATAAGCGTAAGGTTCTTGCTGATTGTTGCCCAGAGTGCCCCAGACGACTGTAAGTTGACAGTTGGGGTTCAGCTGTCAACTTACACTATTAAACCACATACTTGAAACTAGTTCCTAACAATTGGTGAAAACTAAATATTTTGTAATTTGTTTTATAAATTAGCATCTAAAACAGTGCCTATCTAAATCTGTCTAAATATAATTAACAAAGGAAAGTATGATGGTCTTCCATTTATTTATTTATTTTACCGAAAACAAAACATATAACAATCAAATTACATTGATATTAAGTATGATATTACAAAGTTATGTTCCAGATTATAATGCTACTTATGTTGACACATTATTTTGCTAGTAATTTACTTACTTGGTTGAAATAATTATATATTAATATAATGTAAAATAATTATATATTAATATAATATAAAATAATTATATATTAATATAACAATTTTATAATTATAAATATTACAAAAAGTCAGTTAGTCCCAGTCACTTAAGACTTTCATAGCGCCCGACCTGTTACACAAAAATATTATAAGGTATGATAAGTAGTTTGTAAAATATACATTATTCGCTATATAGACCACGTAAAAGTATATGTTATCACTTACGTTATATCCTGAACGAGGCATGCGCTGAAAATAAGGGAATCACCACAATAATCGACACGGTATCGCATTAAGGCTACTAACAGATTGATTTCATCAATTAACTGTATGCAGACAAGAGTCTGCAAGTAGTTAATGCTTGACGTCGTTATCAACGTCATGCAGTTGAGGTCTCGGCTGCATGAAGTTGATTACGACTTCACGCACTAATTGCAGCCAGAAAAACTTTATCTACCAACTCAATGGCCGGCCTAACTACCTCACACAAATTTTAATGTCATGTTTTTTCCTTGCAGCATCTTAGGAAATAGAACTCAAAAAAGCCATTTCGGAAACTCTACTCACGGTTTCAGACAAAACATGACACTTGTACAAAATCAAGCGAAATTGGAAATTGGAGTCTGCTATATTGAAGTGCCGTAAGTATCACTCACCATTTTTAATCAAGTACTTACCAATCATTGTGCATAAGGCATCGAGTATATAACCAGAAACAGATACGACATAAGGACCATCCATCCCTGGTAACTCATCTGATAAATGGGCTTTATATCACTTTTAAATATTAAATCGTTTGCGCTGAAATCACAAATTAAAAAGCTGAAAAGTACATAACAGCGCCAACAACTGACCTGTTGTACGTCTCCGTATATTCCAAAAATATTCTGTATTTATTGTAATAAAGATAATATCTCTAACTATGGGGGGCTGTTCTATTCGGTGGTGTGTGAAAAACAGCAAAACATCTAATTACAAAACAAACAGAATCACATTTCATAGGTAATAAATATTTTTACATAATTTTTAAATTTTCGTCTACTATAGCATAGCTCAAGTTAAACTGGTGCATTTGAAGTGAAACAATTCACGACACCCGTCAATTGTTTCGAATTCGGGCTGGCCAATCGGAGCACAGTTATTACCGTAATGATGTGGCAGAATAGTTTTCAAACAAATTAAATGACGTTTCGTCTCGATTCAGGTATCAAATTCATTTGTGGAAGCGCCATTGCGTAAAACTATAGTCAAAAAAGACTTGAATAACAAAAGCAGATTGTCTTGATCACGGAAAGTATTTATGTGGTCTGTGGATAAATGAATACAAATGTTTATTTATAAAGAGCAACCCCTAGAGCGAGGTTGTTGCGAATACCAGCATCCTCATCCGCATCCGTGGATCCGCATGAATTGATGTTTGATGTTTTCAACATGATGCTGATATTCATTGCGGATGCTCGAGTCGTGACATGATCTAAAAGGCACGCTGAAATAATTTACAAACCTCCCAAAAACAGAATAAGTCGAAATAACAGTTCAGCTGTTGTCTTTATAATGTAACTTTGATAAAATTCCAGAACGATATATTATATATATATATATATATATATATATATATATAATAAAATGACCATCCGCCAATGTGTAAAAAAACCTGCATCAGAAACAACCCTAGGATTTCTTGCCCATTCTTCTCAACGGAATCTGCCGTACAAATGAGTAGATATATAGATAGATATATAGAGTAGTGGAGTTTATTTAATCAATGTGACGATTTCAAAGTGCAATTTGCTCACCTATGAAAGATTATCTTACTTTGAGTTGGTTTGCAAACATGTAATGGTACATGCAATAGTAGCAGTGTAAGTACATGTTCTGAATGTCATATTAGGTTAATATTTATAATAAAAAGCAAAATCTCTCGATGCAGGTAGGATTCGAAGGCCAAACGCACTACTATTTTCGCTCTTATTGCATGGACATGAACATTGACTTACAATTATATGGACGTCGGGTCCGCGCTTAAAAGTGTCCGCACTTGTAAGGCGCTAAAATCGTATACAGAGCGCCAAACTCCGCTTTAGTCTTCATTTGTTCGACTGACAGAGCGATACTGCGATGACATTACAATTTAAATTTCGAATAGGTTGACTTGGGACATTTTTTTCGCGGGTTTTGTATTAGACCCGTCGTCCATTTATTTGTAAGTCAATGGACATGAAGCTCTATCTGAACGGCTCAAGCCGGTTTCGCGACAACGTGTGTGGTGACTCTGTTATTCTACATTATCGCAACAGTTGCGTAATAACATTTCCGCAAGTATTTTGATTCGGTATGCAATCGCATTTATAAATTTTAATTACAACTATTATATATCCACTATTGTAATACTTGCTATTTGTTAACAGAACTGCAACTTTAGTACGGGATGGCAAAGCACAAGCTGGGAATGGGGTAAGAATTTAAAAGAATAAATGACTTTTTATTGCACATTACGACACAATGACAATGTAGTCATTATAGTTCCTTGTGAAAGAGTTCGTCCTGGGTAATACTGCTGTACCTATTTCTGTCACCAATCAGTAATGTGAGCATTACTGCTTTCCGGTTTTAAAAGATAAAGAGGGGCAGTACATCCCCGGACGAGCTCTTGTACAAGGAGCTCTACTGCTTATAAAAGTTATACTTATCTGATTAATTACTTGCGTATGTAACGTCGTCTCATATTCTCCAAGATCCAGGGAAGCAAATTTATGAACACATTTCTTGATGTCGGAATTAAGCGCAGACTGTAGATAATATTTAAGAGGATGTCAATATGGGCATGACATTTTTAACCGACTTCAAAAAATTTAAAATTTTTCAATTCGACTGTATTTTTTTGTATGTATGTTAACTCCGGCAAAAAAATTCTGAACCGATTTCTGTTGGAAAGAGAGTTCCTTGGTCCCATTGGTCCCATTTAAATGTGAAGGAAATATTCCACCTCTAAGGGTGGCAAACTAGGGGATGAGTGCGGTTTAGCCTACTTTCCGGTAACCGATTTCTATAAAACTTGGTAAATCGATGTAATTCCACGAACTTTTGTTCGGTCGGTTTTTTTAATGAAAAGGTTAGGTATCTAGTTTTCAAATCGCAGCGAGCTGAGCGAACGAAGATTTTTTCTTGCAATCTACCCAAATCATGCCGCATAAAAAAATTACTCATTTTCCGAACAGAGTTTCGGCCGTTCCTAATGATCTTATACAAATTCATTAGCCGTGACTCAACAGATATGCATGAAATTTGAAACTAGCATAAAGAATACTATACTGTAAGTCGTGAAGGGGTCCCATTTTGAGTTTTGACCTCTGATATCTATGAGATAATTGAGGTGAAACGTAGTTTGTTTTTGTTTTTTGTTTGTCGAAGTAAATGGACTTGCCCTTGACCACTGAAGAAAAAAAAACAATGTAAGTGCCAAGCCTCCGGTTACTATTAGAACCGCTGACGCCAAGACTGAGACATTCCTATTTGAAAGACTATGAAATCTTTATAATGATTAGTCGTAGTTTAAAATTTCAAAAGAAATAACAAATTCTGGACTGCTAATATAATTTAAACTTTACTTGTTGACATATCGCTGAAAGTTCAATATCATCAATATCTATTATTGCAAGTTACGACGTTTTGGTTTTATATTGAAATTTCAATAATTGTGCTGCCATCCAGCGGCTAATAGCTGAACGACGACGAATCCGAGATGCATGTACTTAGTTCTCCAAAAAAGGAGCGACCATATAGCAGCGGCACAAAGGTTTACATTCATTTCTTGTAACAAAAAAAAATTGTTACGATAAACAGAAAATTTAAATTCCTCTGCATTAACTACTTTACATTACATTACAAATTTCAGTCTCAACCACATCTCAGCCGCATCAGATCCTGCTGCAGAGGCTACATCAGGAATATCCATAACTTCTATAAATGCGATCCAGTTTGCACTCAGGAGTGCGTTAACGCCTTGTGCACCGCTCCGGATACTTGCACCTGCTTCCCTGATCACGTAAAAAATCTGGCTGGTTTCTGTACTCCTACGTGTCCGATTGGCTGCCAAAACGGACAGTGTTCTGGAGGAGAATGTCTGTGTAAACAGGGATATAAACTAGATTTGCAAAGTGGACGATTCTGCATACCAGCTTGTCAGGAAAATTGTGGAGGCATTGGTAAGTAATAGTTAATTGGCTACTATTTACGTACAAAAATACCTTATAATAATGTAAATATATACTAAATAAATTAGTTCCCCTTCACATGGCTATGCTATTACATGGTAATTGCCTTCTTTTAAGTCTCCCAACTCACAGTGTTTAAACATTAAAAGCTATTCTAAGCGCTATGTATAATATTAAGCAGTATTGGCCCATTTCTTCTTAGAATGCATCTTTTTTGTTATGCCTTACATTACTGATGTTGGAAATAATCGATTAACTTTTAAGTCCTGAAAATAGGAAATATTATAAGAAGAAATCAATTTCATATTCAGGAAATTGTACCGCCCCGAACACGTGCGACTGCAAAACGGGTTACAAGTCCTCACCAGAAGGATCTTGCAAACCGGTGTGTGACCGTTGCACGAACGGAGACTGCGTGGCGCCTGGAGAATGTCGCTGCCATCAAGGCTTTGCAAAAGATCAACAAGGAATTTGCACTCCTCGATGTGAATTGTGAGTTAAACTTTAGAAACAATTGTACCATTAAAAAAACCGAACATTAAAGAACTTATGCTTTACTCACTACGCGTAACGGATGTGTTTGATTAAATGTGATGGTTGTGTATAAAGATTCTTGCATTTAGAAACCACCAAGAGAAATCAAAATTTACATAAAATATTGCGCAAAAATAATAATAGTCCATATTGGCAAACGTTTATTGAGAAAACTACCTAAAGTACTTAATGTTATTGGAAATTCTTCTATTTTATTATCACTACATATTTAATAGACTCGTGTATAGAGCATATGACAATTATCTAATAAGAACCCAAAGGTTTTTAATGGTAAAGAACTTTAATTTGTTGTGGGTAAAATCTGCACTAATTTTAATACTGACGTTAAATGCATTACGCTACAGCGGTTACCATAGTACTCCAAATGGCTGCAAACCGATATGCAACTCCTGCACTAACGGCGAATGCGTCGGGCCCAATGAATGCCGTTGTAACCAAGGCTACGCCAGAGATTATCAGGGACAGTGTATTCCTCAGTGCTATCCGTAAGTAAATTTTTACACCACATTTCTGGCCCATATTATGAAGTTTTACTAACTTTTGCTGGCCAAATCCGACATAGAATGTTTAATAACCAAACGTTGCTTGGCAAACAATGATGGCGTAGAAGAAGAACATTTTTCTCAATGCTCATTATTTAGGATAGCTCTGGAAATGGATTTTAAATGCTAAATAGGTAATAGGCATATGTACAAGTAATACTTACCTGGATTGATACGTATGATTTTTTAATCAAATATGTAGTTATGTTTTTGATACATATTATTAATACTTACTGCACGATAGTAGATGAAAATAAACAAAATTATAATTTTTTTTAATAACCTGAATGTTTGCAATCTCTCCCTTCAAATCCAACAATCATTACAGATGACACAGTAGTGATAATTAGTGAATTGAAATTTTTATTATAAAAATTCTTCACGTCGTCAAGATTAGTATTATTAATAACCGAATCTTTTCTCACATGTTTTGGACATTTATTTAACGTGTTTGCACAAGACGTCCGATTCACCTCAGTTCCGAATCCGAGAAATGACGGTCCGAAATGTCACAGGTGTCCGAAGTATCATTTTATATCTAAGTGTACTAGCGATATTACACAAGCGAGCACAAGCGACATGCGAAGTGGGTCTGAGCTTTCTAGATTTGTATAGTCTCGGAATGGGAACAAATACGAATCGGATGCGTAAACGCGCTTATTCTACATTGAATTTGTCTATAGTATACAAAGAGTATATGTATATTTACATAATCGAGGCGGCCAGCCAATAGTGATTTGTATGAGAATTCTAATTCCAAATAGCCATGAGATTGAAAAAATATATATATACTTAAGTTATACAATTTCACACTATAACAAAGTATTAAGTAGTAGTAGAGCTCCTTGTGAATGAGTTCATCCAGAGAAGTACTGCCACCTTACCTATATCTGCTGCCAAGCAATAATGTCACCATTACTGTGTTCCCGTTTTGAAAGGTGAGGGTGCTGGTGAAATTACAGGCACATGGGACTTGTCAACTTATGTCTCAGGGTGACGGGCGCAGTGGCAGTGCCCCTCAGATCTTTGTGATTTAAAGCTCTGAGAGGCACTGCAACTGTTATGGATAGGCGTCTAGCTTACCATCAATTGCACGACGTGTTCCTCCCGTCACTTATTATTATAAAAAAAAAATTGCTTGCTCATGTTTATACACAAATGTTTATTAAAATTTTCAGTTCGTGCGGACCGGCAAGTCGATGTGTATCGCCGAATGTTTGCGATCCTCCAGTCCGCCCACAACCACGTCAACCCTATCAGCCTGATCAGACGTTCTACCAACCAACTCAACCTCATAATCTGTACCCCTTACTCCCTCAGAATCTGAATGGTACTGATCCTTTACCTCAAGGCGTTCCACAATGCGCTCAACCCTGTTTGAACGGATTCTGTATCGGAAATAACAAGTGTAGCTGCAATGCTGGATATGTGCCGGATCAGAGCGATCCTAGTGGATTCATGTGAGTTTCCTAATACATATTTGATAGTAAATGGTTACTCGTCACTCTTAGTACCTGAGTCTTCCGAGTCGAGGCGCCTAATTGCGATTCACAACTGGCCGATTGGAAACTTTTGAATTTTCAAATCGGAGCAATAGTTGATTTAATTCACAAATTATAAAGATATAGTAGGAATCATTTTCATCTTCTCGCTTGGAAACCCGTCTGATTTCGAGACTCGGATAGACTACCCGATCGGTTCTATTCCGATTTCAATCAAAATCAGCATACTGACCTGATCTTGTTTACAACATATACCTATATTATAATTATTAATACAAGGAACACAAAAAAAATTCATTCGATCCAGCTGGACTCGAAACAGCGCCTTCGCCAACGTGCCAAAAAATGTCGTTAAAAATGTTTTTGTTATTGGTTATAATAAAAACAAAAACAATGACAAAAAAATTCGTGAGGTCTGCTAATTCGTTCCGTAGCTTCATTTGGAGAGCGTCAGTCACAATATGGTGAAGGCGATGATTCGAGTCCAGCCGGATTAAATGAATTTTTCTGTGTTCGATCTTTCTAACAATATAACAAACTAGTGGAATAATTTCCCAAATTACGAGTATAACTTTTTAATAAAAAAAACCGACTTCAAAAATTCGTGGAATTACATCCGTTTCCCAAGTTTTATTGGAAAGTTCGGAGTTTAACAGAAAATGCGTGAAAACGGATTCATCCTCTAGTTTGTCACCCTTAAAGGTTAAGGTAATATTTTCTTCAAACTTGAATGGGACCAACACTGAAATACCCTCTTTCCAACAAATAAGAATCATCAAAAGGTTCACAAATGCCGGAGAACCTCCTCCTTTTTTGATGTCGGTGAAATGTAATTTAATGTCATGGTAGTAAAAACATCGTAATATTATTTATGCATTGAAACAATTTAGTAACATGACACTCCCAGAATTTCACGATTCAAATACGTCGCTATAAACCTTTAATAGATGACACCTTTATAATATTTAAATCAAATGATTAAGCTCCACGGCACAAAACGATTTTTAATTTTCAATTTTTTATTGTCTTAGGTGCATTCCTAGCTGCCCCGGCGGGTGCCCCAATGGAGTATGTTCAGCACCCAACTTCTGTATCTGTAACATCGGCTACATCAAGGACCGCAGCGTGAAGGGTCGCGCTGTCTGTATTAGACGCGAAAAGAGAAGCTTAAACGTAGCCGAGCTCCTCGTTTATATGATCCCTGATAACGCATACTAAGATTTTGTAATGGTATTCGAAATTCTTTAGTATTTTTTTTTAATAAAAATAACTTTCTGTACGACAGACACCGTTGTTTCATTTAAATATTTAGATGCAGATGCTGCACCGACACTTTTTTTTTATACGTGACAGGGAGATGACTCCATTCCACCTAATGTAAAATGGAAAGTGGAATCCAAACGTGAAATAACTTAGTGCAGTGTTGATACAACCACTGCCCTAGCCACACTGCACGCCTGCAAGATGCCTCTTCACACCTCGTTTGAAGAACTCCATATCGTAAGACGGAGGGAATACGTGCCCTGAAAGGTAGTTTGTCAACTGTGCTACAGACGAAGGTGCCACCACATCTTGTAGTTCGCGATGGAATACGGCTAGTTGTAAAGCGGCGACTACGGAGGCCAGTACACGTGGTTCGTGGTTCGTGGAGCAGGAAAGGGGAGAGCGGGATAAGGTTGAACAGTTCTTCAGAACACTCGTCATGGTACATCCGATAAACTGTAACTTCCGTATAGCGATATGTACTATACCTGACATATTTTATTCATTCAGTCTATGACCAAACAATCTACGATGATGAAGGTTCAATATCTAAAGAAAAAAGAAGAATGGTAAAGAAATTGAAAGAAAATATGTTTTGAGTTTTAGTTTTCAAAATTAGTTGGAAGCAATTGAGACTTATGACATGTTTTTCTTAAATAATGGAGCTTGAATATAAGAAACTCCTTACAAAACCCAAATTTTTAATTAGGAGGTCTTATCACTTCATCGCCTCTATAGTGACTTGACCGATTGATAAGAAAAACAGTATAAGGTTGCTTTTCCACCGGCAAAGCGAAACGAGGATTGAAATTTGTATGGCAAAATTTCAACTTCAGTAACAACAATTGTATAGCTAATTCGAACCGTAATTGTTTCTACAACTACATCACACATAATTCAAAATAAAAAAAAATTAAATAGGTAATCATAATAATATTTTATTGAATTTTCAAATTAATTCCTATTAATAAATATTGGTGTGTACAATAAGTAGAATTAAGAGACGTACGTAGTTTTTTTGATATCACCGCACAACCAAATCAAAATCGTTCTGCGACGATTCCGTAACGTGTTTATCTGAAATAAAAATAAAAATAAATATCGAATATATAATATCGACAATGAAACTGACCTCACCTATTTCTTCCAGTGCCTTGCCATGAGATTACAGTGAGTTATTGCTAGCGACCGCGTAAAATGTAGTTTCTTCTTGTGACCGTTAGGGGCGCTGTATAATTTGCCATACAAAATTGTGAAGTTATTTACGCGATCGCGAGCGACATCTGTTACAGTAAACTCGTCATAAAGGCACTGGTCTATCTTGATACGCTCACCATACATATAACCGGTATAGGAGACCCATCTACATACAATTCGAAGTCTCGATGAAATACTTTCTTTCTTCTTTATAATATAATTTGGTAGGATTGCTAGACTACTGTCGTACTAAAATTTTCATTTACATTTCACACAACATAAAAATCCGGTTCTGCAATTATCATTTATTATTTCTTTACTGTACGGAAGAACACTAGCTGTTAAACCAATAAGAGTCACAAGATGTTAAACCTACTTTGAGAATCAGGGAATATAATTATCTTGTAATGATCTAACCATATCCTAGTTTTATGTTTTGCTGTTAACTAAGACTTGGAAATAAATACTTGGATTATTATTATTATTATTATTATTATTTACTATGTTTTTTCTTTTTCTTTTTCTTTTTTATTTAAATACCGTAATCATTCAATGTATGTACGCTGTGTGGTTTCTTTTTGGAATAAATTATTTATATTTATTTCTATTACTGAACATACAAAATCTCTTATTATTTAATAAGCGCCTTGCTACCTTCCTGTAATTTAAGGCAAGGCATAAAATATGTTGCTTGTTACCTATTTCTGCCGCCAAGGAGAATTACTGTGCCCCGGTTTTGAAGGGTAAGGGTGCTGGTAAAATCACGCATAGGCACACATGGTAACGGGCGCGGTGGTAGTGCTTCTCAGATATTTGCAATTTAAAGCTCTGAGTGGCACTATAACTGTTATGGACAGGCGTGTAGCTTATCACTTGATGTTATTAAAAAAAAACGCAATTTTGATCCGAAAAACTAGTTCCATTTTTTCTAATTGCCTTTTGCCTGTCAACCCTTGACCATAGAACATGAACCGCTGGATAATACCGTGACTAAGGAATACGAAACTGCTCTGTAATATGTGAAGAATAAAAAGTCACACCGAGTTAAGAAGACCTGTTTCTACAATATAACCTTTTTTTTTTAAATACGAAAATGGATATATGTTGTTTATCCCAATTATAAATTATTTTCTCTCTACTAAATATTTCAAAATATTAAAACAAACATTAAATTAGCTTAAACAGAACATTGTTGTTACAGGCGCCAACATCTTTTTACATGTAGCTATTCTGCATCAAACGTTAAACCATGGTTACTACAGTATGATAATTATAATGAACAGTTAGTTACAGCAATAGACTGCTTATCATTCTTATATTGTCTCTACGTGTACCAATGAATCTTGATTGGTTAGTCAACACTAAGTACATAGTTCTATTTGTAAATTCTAATAAAATAACGAAATGAAAAATGAACAATGTTCATCAGTTCAAAGTTATACAAAGTAAAATATTTAGTATTTTTCATTGACTTACAAATAAATGGACGACGGGTCTAATACAAAAACCACGAAAAAAATGTTCCAAGTCAACCTATTTAAACGTACCGACATGTCAAGGAATATTAAAAAGCTAAAACGTTGAATTTAAATTGTGATATCATAGCAGTACTGTCTAATTTTGCTTGCTTCGCTGTCAGTCGAACAAACAAAGACTAGAGCGTGAATGACGCTCTGTATACGATTTTAACGCCCTATAAGTTCGGACACTTTTAAGCGCGGACCCGACGTCCATATAATTGTAAGTCAATGATATTTATAGAAATATAAGTTATAGATTATACATAATTAAAAGTATTCTATTTACTTTCAACGACGTAACTGCCACCGCTGACATATCCCATTTTCTTTATCAGAATAACAGCTAATGCTATTATCACCAATAATATAAATACAGCAGCCACTACGTAGAAAATCCAGACGAGGGATGAGCTGAAAACATTTTAGTATTATACTTTGGTCCATTATCTATGGTTATTTAAAGATGTTTAACCATTCGTTACAAAAACCTCACCTTTTCTTATTAGCACTCTGTCCCTCTTGAAGGCTTTTGTTTTCTACAAGAATAAATTTTGTCGATGATTCTATAACTGACGACGAAGGGAATTCCATTTCAGTTGTAACAAGGTACTGTTCAGTAGTAAAGTCAAATGTAGATGTAAACTCTCCATTAGTTGTAGTGCGTAAGTTCATAGTTGGATAAGTTGATTGTTCGCCCAACAGAGGATATTTTTTTTTTATTTGAACAATTTCGTGACAAATAGTTTTTTGGCATTCTATGGAGATAATATTATTACAATTTATAAAACAGTCACACTTGCCACCATCTTCTGTAACGTTTATTGCAACGTAATTTGGATCGCAAACACATTCATAAGGTGCGACGCAAGTGCCCTCGCAGTTCTTGCAAATCGGTTTACACATAGGCTCATCGATGAATTCAGCAGTTTCATTCTGTCCATATCCATAATCGCAGTGACAAATATTAGGAGCGACACATTTTCCACGACCACAATCGTAATCGCATTTAGGAACACATTCAAAAGTGTTCAAACCGATGATGTACCCCGAATCACATTCACAAAATTCTGGAGCCATACATGTTCCGAATTTACATCCTTTGGAACAATACGGTTCGCAACATGTAGGAACACAAGATTCTTTTAGAATGTAACCCGAGTCACAAGCACATACATTCGGTGCAATGCATTTCCCATTTCCACAGTCGACGGTACAGTTGAGTTGACATGAAAATTCAAAATTATCGCCTAGTTCCAAAACGTATCCTGTGTCACAAGTACATTCGAATGGAATTTCACAATGTCCATGTTCACAACTCGGACATAATGGTGTACATGTCCCGTTATTAAGTTCATATCCAGCTGAACATTCGCATGTGTTTGGAGCTACACAAGTTCCACCGTTACAACTGCTTATGCAGATGGGGTTACAACTGTCGTTAATATACTCATAGTTTTCATCACAAGTGCATTCACCTGGACTTGTGCAATGGGAACCGGTTCCACAAAATTCACAATAAGGTTTGCAAATACCGTTTTCGGATTGGTAACCTTCAGAGCATTCGCATGTATCTGGAGCCACACATTTACCATTTATACAAGCTGTTGTACAAATTGGTTGACATGTTCCATTGATTCTTGCATAACCATGCAAACATTCACATATATTCGGTGCTGTACATTCGCCATGTTCACAGTCTCCTGGGCAATACGGCGTGCAGTGAAATAAATTGGATGGATTGGTAATATATCCGCCGTTGCAGGCACAAACATCGGGACTTTGGCAATAACCATTGACACATGACGGCTCACAAATTGGGCTACAAATGGGCCTGAAAACGACATACAATAAGTATTTCATATTTTGGTCAAAGATTCTTAGATGTGTAGAGAATTTTAAGTGTGTAATGAATCATAAAGCCCCGTTCATTTACGATTCGATATAAATAGGTATTATTACATATAAAATTCAATAAGTGATAAAAGTACATACGTGTCCTCTCCCCCTAACTCGTCCTCCGAGTCTTCGTGGGTGTAGCCTTCGCAACAAACTTCGACGGTTCGCCAGTTTTGTTTCTGTAACAATTTAATTGAAGGAACATTCTTTAGTAACAGTACAGCTCCATGTGAAAGAGTTTCTTCAGGAAAGTACTACCACCTTACTACTCTTTTTGCCGCCTAGCAGTAAAGCGAGCATTGCGTTCAGAGTGGCGCAGTGGCAGTGCCCCTCAGATATTTGCAATGTATCGTATAGATATGCAATGTAAAGATATGCTCTAGGCTCTGAGTGACCCTGTAACTGCTGTAGGCGTTTGTCCATGGTGTAGTTGCAGATCTGTGTCGCTTACCAACAGATGCACGATTTGTTCACCCCGTCACTTTCTTGTATCATAAAAAAGGTGCCAAATTATTCCTAGTTTTATTTTGTAATATATTTAAGCTAAATGAGATAAATGCGGTCCTAATCAAGGACATACGACATTGAGAAAAATGGAAGTAAGTTAATTTGCTGCTCCGTGAACCCTGTTAAACCGTCCAAAATAGCTGCACTTTTATTCAGTAGTTAATGTGCTCACCTTCCCTCCGTGCAAAACTAATAAAATAAATAACACAAGCCACTTCTGATTTCTGCAAAGCAACAGCTGAATCGATTGATTAAGGGCCTAAATTCCTTTAAATATAAAATATCCTTCAGAATGTCGGGAAATGTCAATAATGCTATTAAAAGATAAAGAACGCAAACGGATTTTGGATTTTGAAACTTCGTCTTAAACTTTGCAATTTGAAACTTAGCAATTTTCATCAGGGTAGCTTGCGTATTAGGTGCAAATTCGTAAATAAAAACATACACTCAACCGTTAAACCTTAGTTATAAACAATAGACTCGCTCTACCTATATCAAAATTGCAAATGGACAACACAGGGCCATTTATAATGGCTATTAAAATCTTTAACAGAATCCATAAGGACATCTCAACCCAAACGCAGTATAGTTTATTTATAAAACATCTTAAAGCCCATCGAATAAAAAATTGTATTACAGCTTACAAGAGTTTTTTGAGAAATAAACTTTAAATTGATAATAATAATGGTAGTAACCGTTAGTAACACTATATTTTAAAATTAATTTCTTAAAATATTTTAATAAAGTATCGTTCTTACTTTTATTATTAGATTTTATATTGCAATAGTTTTATAAAATTTTACAGATAATTTTCTTTTTATGTTTATGTTTTTATTTTTATGTTTATATATTTATAATATTTTTATTTGCGGCGCCCTGACGGGGTCATGTTGAGATCGTGTATTAAAATTTTGAGAACTATATAACACATGGAAGCAATAAACACTAACTTTGAGTTTTTGGTGAAGAGGAATCTACTTTAAGTGGAACTTCCATAAGCTAAACAAAAATATTTTTACCGTCACTAGACCTTCTGTGGGCACATATCTTTGTCGAGTTTTGGTGCACTTTCCACCCCACCAACACGTCGTGCTATATTGTTCCACCACAGTTTTCCAGCGCAGTTCTGTAGCTGTATACGTATACCTAAAATAAAAAAAAATTCAAACCCTCAATAGGAATGTTTACATTTCATAAATATTTTAAAGGACTTTTTTAACTAATTGTTTAGCACCCCTCAAGCATTATGTAAATATATACAACATAGTTAATATCCATCGTGCAGTGAACAGCACGACAGCTACATCTCAGTTTGGACTGTTTTTATCATGAGATAGAGTTACATTTCAATTTCAATTTAAAAAATGCACAGAGAGTACTAGTACAAAGGAAAGCACTTATTTTTCAAATAATAGGGGTTAAAGTATGAAATTGCCGATTTGTACTGAAAATCTAAATTGTTTATTTTTTAAATTTTTAACAAATTTATTTAATCAAAATAGTTGCCATTATTATCTATACATTCTTGTCACGTAGATAATTGTCCAAATCACGAAAAAAATGGTAGTCCGTTGGAGCAAGGTCTGTTGAATACGGAGGATAACGAATGGTTTCTAGCTGCAGTTCCTGAAGGGTCAAAATGGTTTCTCGTGCTGTGGTGAGGTCTCGCGTTGTCGTGGAGCAATAATGGTGAAGATCGATTCATGAGTCGGGGCTGTTTTACTGCTAGTTTTGTCAACATGGTTCGGAGTTCGGCACAATAGACATCTGCCGTTATTGCTTGACCAGATCGGAGAAAACTATAGTGAATAACACCATGCTAAGACCACCAAACAGTTACCATTACCTTTTTATTGGTAAGTTTTGCTTTAGGACACTGTTGTGGCATTTGACCTGGGGTCATCCATTGCATTTTTCTTTTCCGGTTATCATAAAGAATCCACTTTTCAACATGTAATCATGTTACAATTCGATCCAATATTCCTCCATATCTGTATCGGTTCAACAAGGCAACACAAGTTTCAACACGCGTTTCTTTCTGCAGATCAGTCAAATCATGAGGCACCCATTTTTCGTATTTTTTTATTTTATTGATTTGACGCAAGTGAGTCAATATTGTGGGTAAGGTAACGTTAAACCATGCCGCTAATTCCTGGGTAGTTTGACTAGGATCGGCTTCCACTATCTCTCTTAATTCATCGTTATTCACCTGTGTGGGCGGTCTTCCTCGTGACTCATTCTTTAAGTCGAAATTTCCATCACGAAAGCGTTTAAACCAAAATCGCACGGTGCGTTCATTAGTAGACCCCTCTCCAAACGCAGCATTGATATTGCGGGCTGTTTCTGCCGCGTTAGTTCCGCGTCGGAACTCGTATTCAAAAATCACTCGAATTTTCGCAGTATCCATCTTTCTTGTCTAAATTTGTCAATTGAAAGTCGATATTCAAATGTTTCAAATTTAAAAAAAAATCACAGAAACCATTTGAAAAAAGTTTCATTCGAAAACCTCAAACCATGGAGATTCTATGAAAATTCAAAGAACCTATTGCAATGAAACGGCAATTTCATACTTTAACCCCTAATATATTCATGTGTTTTATTTATTTATATTTCTGGCAACATAATTATTAGGTCCACAATTGTGTCAGTAAAGCCTATGTTAATAATACTTAATAAATGATTTCATCCTCTGAGTGATTTTCCACAACTAAGTACAATTACAAATTTTTAGATATCATCTCATATAATGAACTACAATCCAAGCCGTCCCTTTGTGAAAATAGGCGTGCCACATAGTGTAACTATAAAATAAAATAAACAAACTCTGAGATGAAATCGAAGTCCAAAAATGTAAACAAAGTTGATACCGTTACAAAAAAGATTTAAAGAATAGTGGAAACGTGAAAATGTCTAAAAAAAGAATGCAAGATGTTTTTATATTTTGTATTAATATGTGTGCATGTACGAACAAAATATTATCCAATCATCATTTTTATTTAAAACACCATATTTAATAAGATACACTCAAGAAAAACATTCCAGTAGAAAGATTTTTATCCTATTGGCAATGATTCCGGGTTGCACATCCTTTGGCTACCCCTTTATTTATTAACCGACTTCAAAAAAGGAGGAGGTTTTCAATTCGACTGTATGTTCTTTTTTTTTGTATGTATGTTACGCGATAACTCCGGTATTTGTGAGCCGATTGTCATGATTCTTTTTTTGTTGGAAAGGGGGTATTTCCATAGTGGTCCCATTACATTTTGAAGAAAATCCCCCCCTCAAAGGGTGGCTGTTCACGCATGCAGATTCATTTTTATAAATAGCGCCTAACTTTAATTTCGGAGCAATTACTTTTAGCAATTATTTAGTTGATTTTGCTATTTCTCCAATTCAAGGCGTTTGTCTCTCGATATGCTTTGAGTAGTGTCGTAGTGAGAACCTATTTTTATTATCTCCAATATCAAGTCCTGTTTAGTGGCGAACTAGGAGATATTTCAATGAAACTTAGCAAATAGACGTAATTCCACGTACTTTTGAAGTCGCTTTTTTTAGTACTCTGTACTGAGATTATTCGGTTTACAAACACAAATACTTTTTAGCAGAACTGTTAGTAACAATAATTTATTGCTATAATACTATCACTTTATTAAGTACAAAATAAAAATAATAAATCCATTCAATATTATAGTGTTCATTATAATTAATAATAAAAACTGAAAAGTCAGTTTTTGATCATTAGGGATGGATAACGTCAGGTTATGTTCGTTTATTTTCTTTGTGGCGCTTGTTAACATGCTCCATACTGTATATGCCTCGAGTTGTTGCATGCTTCATACTTATTTCAAATAGTTTTTGAACAATTGCTAAAAAATTGAATGTCTTTTAACTTCTTCATGAAATACATTATTTCACCCTATCTTGAGTCAATGACATGTTGTCAAAAACAAAACTAGGTATATATATATATGTATATATATAAATAAAAATAAATACGCACACACTCTTAGCCCCCCCCGCACTAGGGAAAATTCTGTATGCAGGTGCCATGGATTCACACATAGACAACCACAAATTACATCCAACCTCACGAGAGATATAAATGTGGGCCATACAAATATTTCTCTCGGCCCGGGAATCGAACCCGGGACTTCAGCGTCGTAGCCGGGACCTCTGTGTCGTCGACGAGCATGGTAACTGTTCGCCTCGGAGGCAGTTAGTTATACCATATAATGTAAGCTAACAATTATTATTATTAGATGTCATCTTTAAGACGGTGTCCTATCCGTCTTAACATATATCGTATGACCTATCAAAAATATACAACATATTTTCAAACATCTAGGTGAAAAAGTGCAATAAGACTGACCCCACCCGTTGTCATTTTCCATATTTTCTTGTTTGTAGAATATAGTTGTTTATATAGAGCTACTTACAGTTGACGTTCTTGACAAATCTGGCAATCCACGTCGTACAACGTTAATGACACGAATAAGTACAAACTTAAACATCTGAATACCATTTTTTTACTTGTTCACTTCAAGTCTGGTTGCACAACAGAGAATACAAAACTCACGGGATATTGTTTATCTTCTGTAGTATAGCTATTAAATAGTGTGTCCATGATTTTCATAAATCGTGGACGTGAATTAGTAACTTTAGTGTGTCAAACAAGACAGAAGAAAACAACAATATGTTTAGACGCGAATGCAGTTAACTCAATGATGTAAGATCATTGAGTTAACTGCAGTTACTGGAAGGCTCGACAAAAAACCAAAAACTTTTATAACTAATTTAATTCAAAAAGTAAAATTACCAAAATAGTGATTAAAAATAAGTGACAATCGTTCGACGTGAGAAATCCCAGCGATAGATTAAAAATTAAATTGGCCAAGTAAACGCAATACGTGTACTGATCGAGCGCCTCGTGATCGATGCACCTGCTGTGCTTTCATTTTATATATGTATATGCGTGTTGATTCGGCAGCTTCCCTTTTGGTGCAATATCTAATCCAACTCGTGTGCACGGATTGTAACAAAAATAATATTGTTTTGTATATTTTGAAACTCAGTCACGATCACTAGTGATCCAATCTCCGTTGGTACTGATTTATAAATCAAACCAGATTTGAATTTTTAATGTGGATGCCAAGTGATAATAAATAATAAATAAATAAAAATGTTTATTTACTTTAACTTGGGCCTAGTTTACAATTCAGGGTTCGAAACTCCTTTTAAGTAAATATATACTTGTGCTAGGAGTCCTATGAAATTACTAGACTTCCTAGGAGTGATTTAAAATTACTAGACTTATCCTAAAAACTTTCGAAGGTGTGGTGACCGATCAATACATCCGGTGGTTGAATAAGAGTCCCTTGATAAAACCATACAATGTCAGTTTATTAGTCACTATTTATTTCAATATTTGGTCATCATTGTTTTACAATAATTCAGTTAATTCAATTACACATTTGTTAAATATTATTAATATTTTAACCAGCTCGTACTATTAATGGTATTCTATTAATCTAATGATAAAACAGAATCTTGTGAGGCTTAAGGTTGTCATCTAGTCATAGAGTTCATCCAGTGAAGTACTTTCTCCTTATTTCTGCCCCCAAGCAGTAATGTAAGCATTAGTGCGTTTTGGTTTTGTGTCCCTCCAAAAAGGGACATTTGAACTATGTCGCTAAATGACGGAAGCAGTGGCAGTGCCCATCAGATCTTTGTGATTTAAAATGCAATTGTTATGGACAGGCGTGTTGCTTATATACGACGTGCTCGTCCCATTACATGGTATTATTAAAAAAACTGTAGACAGTAGAATCTCATAATTATACAATAGTTTCGTAAATCGTATCACATTGTAATTAACTGTATCGCATTATCGATTCGCCGGTGTTCTGGAAAAGTAAATTCCTTTTCCAAGAGATTACCTTCACACACTTTTAACAAAAAACATTGAAAACTGGTATATTGCATACATTTTAGGTAATGTGAAATAAAAACGAAAAACCGTTAACAATTATGTACTTATAATTATTAATACAAAGATCGAACACAAAGAAAAATTCATTCGATCCGGCTGGATACGAACCAGCGCCTTCAATATACCCCTTGGTTGACGCACTAAGCTATGCAACAAACTTAACCAGGGGGTCGATTCAGAACCTTACGATAACTCAGTTGTCGACCGATTTTCTTCCGATGCAACACCCGAATCGAACGTCAAACTACCGCATTCGAAACCGAACCGAAATGACGTCACACCCGTATGATTACTCAAACTTCTCGACCGGCAAAGGCTACAAACGTTATTCAAAACATAGTTATCGAATGAAAGTTACCGAACGTCCTATTGTTTACAAAGCAAGAATGTAATATGGAAATCCTTTATTATTTTAAATAATATCTGGATTTTGTTCAATTTTATTAATTTAAAGCGGGACTAATTCCATTCCTATGTTTTAGGCCTTTAAAGTCTTAAAAATGTATATAAAAGGCTTTCATTTTTCATATAATCTATATTCGCCGACTAACTTCATAAACGTTGTTGAATAACGATCTCGTATCCGAATCCGAATCGAACGTTTAACTCGGAATATTCCGAATAGCTCGGAAAGCACCCTTCGATTCGAGAACGACATCCAATCGAACGATTCGGTTAAAATATCGAAGAGTTCTGAATCGGAGTCCCGGTTCGTTCCGTAGCCGTAATGTCCAAACGAATGGAATGAATTGTTCTTTGTGTTGGGTCTTTGCATTAATAATTATAACAAACTAGTAGACTAGAGAGTATTTTCACAAAAAAATTAATATCATGATAGTAAAACATCGCGATATTGAATAAACTTAATAATATTACAATAATTTATTTAGAACAGACTTATACATATTAAGATTTTACCGCTCACTTTGTTTAACTCAAACACATATTATGAACATCGAACATTGAAACTAAACAATATTTCGTAACACAAACCAAATCTGTGTGACAATCTGTGTTATAATCAGTTTTCACAAGTTACACATAACTGCGGTGTTACCAATCTATAAAGCTAATTTATGAGTATCGCAATCAGCAGTTTCCTCATAAACATAATTTATCAATAGTAGTTACATTATTTCCAGTCATAATCTTTACTAATTCCCGTTACCCACATTCTTCCCCATCTCCATATCGTTGCCCACTGTGGAGTTTCTCACTGAAACACAAGATGCTCGATTAACAATCATTTTCAAAATGCTGTAAATAAAACTTAAATTTTAAAAACAGTGTCTATGTATCTACTCCAACAACTCAATAAGGTAAACATTTGTAAGCCAACTTGGGATTGGATAAACAACAGACTGTTCTGGTCTCAGCATCAGATCACGATTACCATGTTATGGTAATGTCATAGGGTTTAAACAACATATCAAGTCGATCGGACAAATAGAAATTTTAGTAGCAGTAGAGCTCCTTGTGAAAGAGTTCGTCTATTTCTGCTGCCAGTCAGTAATATAGCATTACTGTGCTTCGGTTTTGAAGGGTTAAGGGTGCTGATGAAATTACAGGCACATGGGACTTGTCTATTTATGTCTCAGGGTGAGGGTGACGGGCACAGTGGCAGTGCCTCTCAGATCTTTGCGATTTAAAGCTCTGAGTGGCACTGCAACTCTTATGGACAGGAGTGTAACTTATCATCAGGCGCATGACTTGTTCGTCCCATCACTTGATACTACAAAAAAAATAGATATAAAGTAATTATTCATGTTATGGCTGAGACCCCCACGCTAAGAAACAGCATCGGACAAAGGGCCCGGAGACGAAGCGAAGAGGGCTTCGTCAGCGGCGTTACATTGCGACACCGCATTGCTCGTGTGGCATCGCTTTAATTTTGAAAAGAACTGAGGATCTTTAAACAGCTAATCAAATGTTCATCAATCACAGCTAAGCACCATGACGGTAAAACCAGCCTTCAAAATGAGTGGCTACGATGCCACAGACAGATCAGAAAAATGAAGATATTAAAAGCAGTTTTGTTTTAAATATCTGTGTACGTGGCAAGATTTTATCTTTCAAGATTTATAAAAAAGGCTTACCGTCGTAGCTTCCATGTCTATGCCGCTTGTAAACTATGCAGCTGATGACAATTATCAATGCAACTATGACAATTACTAACGCAACAATTACTATACTTGCAGTTTTCCGAAACTTTTCCTTTGCATCATCTGTGTTAGCTGCTGAACTGCAAACGATAAAAACATATAACTAATCAATAATGAATCAATGACCTGTTTCCTTGAAATCTATTAAACACAGAAATTAATTTTTAATACTCTGTATGTAAATATGAAAAGATTTCGCAATAGGAGTGCCTATTGCAAAATCTTTAGTAATAGCTAACCTAGGAGAGCTTAACATTTTTGAAGTTGTTGCAGTAATTCCTGAAGTATTGTCTATAGTTGTATATAAAATACTGGCTGTCTTTGTTGCTTTATACATCGGTTCCCTAGTGACTTGTGTGGTTGATGCTTCTGCCTCAGTGGTTTCATATGTAGACAAATCCACGTAAATAGACGTCTCAGTCGTTGTTTCGTCTATAGTTGTGATTTCGAAAGTTGTATTTGATATCTCAGAAGTAGTTGCCACTGCTGTACTGACCTCCGTGGTCATTGGGTCCAGATAAATTGGTTCATAGTAATCATTCGAGACACTAGGTGTGTCTGCAGTTGCTGAATCAGCAGTATTTGTTTCTGCAGTAGTAAATTCAGGATAAATATGGGCATGTGGATTTGTAGTAGTTCTGTTCGAAACACTTGTTGTTTCGGTACTTTTTGGTTCTGCTATATGTGTGTGTGCATAAACATGTGTATCTGTTACATTTGTAGCACTAGATATCGTTGTAGTCGAGACACTAAGCGTGTCTACAGTTGCTGAATCAGCAGTATTTGTTTCTGCAGTAGTGGATTCAGGATAAACGTGAGCATGTGAATTTGTAGTGGTTCTGTTCGAAACACTAATTGTTTCGGTAGTTCTTGGTTCTGCTATATGTGTGTGTACATAAATATCTGTATCTGTTGCATTTGTAGTACTAGATATCGTTGTAGTCGAGACAC